GGGGCCTTAATGCAGGGAATGGACAACTCAAACTACTATATGGGGGTTTCCCAAAATTAGGGGTACCTACTATAATGGAGAATCAAATGGAAAAGAAAATGGAAAATGAAATGGAAACTGTGTTTATGTAGGGGATTATAGGGATTAGGGTTTCCCAAAATTAGGGGTGCCATTTTGGGGGCCCCTATAATAAGGACTATAGTATTCAGGGGTCTATGTTGGGGTCCCCCTTTTTAGGGAAACTACCATATCTTCTTCAAGTGAAAGAACAGACAGCGATTTTGAAAGTATGCCGGCCCTTACTTACTTGCTCTCATCTACTATTACTATATCCCTTGCTCTGGGGACCCCGAAAACGGGACCCCACCTTTTGGAAACCCACTGCCCAGAGGCGCACTCCGAGGCACAAGCCGGGTTTAGGGTTTAGGGCAATCCCTTTCTGCCCTGGTGTGGACACCAGGGTAATGGGGTAGGTTTGAGTAAAAGAATGTTACCCCTGCTTCCTGAATGATCTTTGAACAGCCCTAAACAACGATGTTAATAGGGCCCTTAACCAGGACTGTGTAGAGCTTTGCAGCATTAGGCGCATCAGCATGTAATCCTGGTTGATGATGGTGGCAAGCACCCGTGGTGGTCCTGCTCAGCATCATCCGTGAGCATGCTGTCTGCTTTCCCCGCTTGCCCCAGGTAACTTCGCCGGCATCACTGGCATACGGACCCTCCGCATCATCCGCATCACCCGTCTCGTAAAGGTGGCGCGGTTGGCAAGGGTACTCCGCTTCGTCATGGCCTTGCGGACGCTGATCCTTGCCAGCCTTTGATGTCTCGATCGCAGGATTTAGTGAGATTGACAGCTAGGCTCGCCCACAAAAGAGTGCTAGTGGGCTTAGTGGTTTCACAGCCGGTAGTGATACCAGCTGGAACAGCACTGGGCCGTTTGTCATTTAGGATGGGGCGATATTGGGAGCAGGCCTTGTGCCGGGACCTATCTTTCTGCTGGAGTTGGTGTTATCTGCTTTTCTCAATGGGTCAAAGCATGGAGGTAAGATCTTGCAAGCATCCTTGCCAGACGCCTGAATTTACGATGCTATCCGGCTTGAATGCCTCATTCAAAACAGCGGGACTTGGAGTTGAGGGTCGAGATTGTCGCGTTTAGGCACTAGAGTTTAGGGCTTAGGGCTTCCAATCTATGCCCTTAAGGTCCTGACCACGGGCCCCTTCGATTAGTATGGTCCCTTAACCCTGGGGTCCTTATTACCTTGTATGTAGAAAGCCCTACAAGCTGTTTTCGTTGCTTGATATCGTCTTTGGGTTTTGCTTTTCAATGTGCTTGTCAACCCTCTGAATTTGCTCTTGCCGAAAGAGGGCTCGCGATACTCAACACTTACAAGGTCTGCCTGCGTATGCAAGAATTGAACCGTGGGTTCATGAGCCACCGTGCTCAACAGAAATATGGAGAACTGACACCCAGCGCATTACTTTGGATGAGGTTACCACAACAAATGCATTGTCATACCTGATCCCTGTCAAGAAGATCTTCCTCTTTGTAGCAGATAGGTTCCCAGCGCGTGAGAGAGAGAGAGAGCGAGAGAGAGAGGGAGAGAGAGGGATGTTGCCCACTGGGGATGGAGTCTCGTGAATCAGTGAATCCCCATCTTGCCTTTGAAGGGCCAATAGTTAAGACCTAGGAAACAGGTAAGGGGCCCACATCAGCGGCCCCTGGTAAGGACCTTACCATGCCCCTGTAAGCCACTGTATCAATGCAACGGTCAATTTTCCAGGACGCAGTCCATCATCTACACGCTGAAGTCCTTGATATGGGCGATGGTGTTGCTGCTTCTCATTGTGTGCCTCAGTGAGGATATATGGCTTCGTATGCCTTCTGTGCTCGTAGGGAACAGCCAGCTGCGCCAGAATTGAAAGGAGAGTTGCAAACATCAAGAGCCTTTTTTTGGGAGTTCCCATTATAAGGAGTATGTTATATGCGGATTTATATCAGGGCCCGTTATGGAAACCGTCACATAAACCAGAAGAAGCCAGAAAAGGCTGCGCTTTGCTTTCGAGGTACGTTAGAAGATGCTGTTGGGACGGCTTAAGGGCTTAGGGCTCTGGGTGTAGGGTTTTATGGTTTAGGTTTTAGGGTTTAGGGGCCTCAGACATGAAGCTCAGTCCTGGTTTGAAAAGGGTTTAGGGTTGTCGCTTGAGAGCTTTCCTACTTGACGCTTCAAAGAAAATGCAGGAACAGATCTGTACAGTAGTCCCTGTAGAATGCGGCATAGTTGTCCCTATAACCTACGGCCTGATAGCCCGTAAACACTAAACTCTACACCTTAAACCCTACACCCTAAACCCCCGTATGTAGAGCCCTATGAGAGAGATCATTTCCTGCTAAGCACAAGATGAGTTTGGTCCTGAAAGCCTTCAGTATTGAATTCGCAGTCTGAAGCCTCATGATGAGTAAGGTTAAGGGCTTAGGTTTAGGGTTAAGGGTTTAGGGTTTAGGGTCTAGGGAACCCTAGGGCTCCATGTCTATAGATAATACCTACATTGGGCCCCAAAGTCTATAAATATGACCTACATTGGGCTATTTGGAGCCTTAGGGGAAGGCTGTGACAAGAACAGGGTAACGGCCTTCATCAGCTTTTTCTGGAATTTTTGTGCAGGGATTCTCGAGTAGCCACATCCCTAAATCCTAAATCCTCCTTGACACAACTGATGGGCCTGCTGGAAATAGGAGGCCATGAATCTAGAATTTAGGGTTTAGGGTGGCCATATGAGGGTTGTTCTAAAACCTTCAAAATCATGTTCAATTTCTATTATAGTAAAACCCTGAGGAATTATAAACGATAGTAGTTTTATAATGGTCTGAGGAGACAACAGACCCTTGCTTTGTTTTTTATACAGCCAGTTCGTGGCACAGGGTCCATGGGTGTTTTTCTTGGCGCGCGAAAGATGCGCGAAAGATGCGCGAAAGCGCGGCGAAAGGTCTTTATTCATGCTTTTCTTGGGTTGCTGTTGAGCGAGAACAACAGCTCAGAGCAGTAGGGTTTGGGTATATTATCACCATCCGGTAAATGGAATGGGACATGAAACGGTCATTTCCCCACGTAGGGGGGCCCCCAAGAAAGACCCCCCAAAACAGTATAATCCTCATTTTGGGGACCCCAAAATGGTACCGCTTTTGGGAAACCCTAATCCCTAAACCCTAAACTTCAAAATTCCCCTATATAACCCTATATGTCCCTTCTAAACACCCAAAATGGTATCCACAACTGTGGGAAACACGCAAATGAAGACTGGAAAGAGGGACCTGGTGAGGAGATGTGTCTTACTCAACTGTTAAGCCCTCATTTTCGGTTGGGGTTTGGGGGTTTAGGGTTTAGGGTTTAGGGGGGTTTGGGGGTTTAGGGTGTTCGAATCCGAGCCTTTGACGCTCAATCCTGCACAGGAGCCAAAACGGAGCGACTCCCATGTTCTAATCCCTACCTATGTCTACATACCTTCCTACATTCTCTGAACCCTTTAAATCCTGAACCCATTCCTGGCCAAGGTACCCTAAACTCCGTTCCCTGCCAAGGTATCCTAAACCTTATTCCTGGCCAAGGTTCCCTAAGCCCTCAACCCTAAATCTTTTTTCCTGGCCAAGGTACCTTGAAACCTAAACCCTATTCATGGCCAAAGTACCCTAAGCCCTAAACCCTAAGCCCTATGGCCAAGGTACCCTCCACCCAAAACCTTATGGCCAAGGTACCCTAAACCTTAGACCCTGTGGCCAAGGCACCCTAAACCCTACCTGAACCATGTACAGTAGCGGCCTTTTTGGCTGGTCTTGAGGATTTTGGGCTATCATTCTACCTTATGTGGGGGTCCAGGTAAACCCTGTGGCTAAGGTACACTTTCGGAATTCTTTTCACGCAAGTGGTCTTTGATGCCTTTCCTCCGCTCTCTGGCGAGGCAGAGCGTGGGAGGTTGCAGGGGGAAATCCGCAGCGTAGATTGCGGTTGGGCTTAGTGTTGAGGGTTCATGGTCTAAGGTTTAGGGTTCAGTGTTTAGGGTTAAGGGTTTTAGGGTGTAAGGGTTTTGTAAGGGTTTACGAAAACCTTAAACCCCCAAATTTAGGGTTTAGGGTTTAGGTCTTCAGATCTAGGATAAGATGCAGAGGTATACTCACTGAAGGTAATCCTTCCTAGCGTGCTGACCAGAGGGCTTTCACTTGTACATGGTTGCACACCGTTTGGTGGGTCCTGGCTCAATGGCTTCTGTCGTTTTCCGTAGGTTGCCGCCTGCTGCAGTTCTTGGTATGCAGAGACATTTACTGCACGGCACGGAGCCTTTTGAGGTAAAACCGGTTTTCTCTGGTAGCCGTCATGCTCCTGTGCGCCTCACAGAGGTTCTGCGGTGTGGCCATTCCAGCAGATTTTCCAAGCAGGTTGTTCTGGGCACTAGTTGACATCACTCAGGTGTTTTACAGGCTTGTGGAAGGCAATTCCGGCTTTTTGGGGGTCTCCCTTCTCCATACAGGGTCCCAACTGGAACCCAGACGTGTGTCGCGAGAATCCCATCTACACCACGCACTCCCTTTCACGACGTTTGGACCACATGGAACAGACATCCCTGTGGCGCTATGGTTCCACCAATCTCACTTTGCAGCAGTTCATTCTAGCTGCGCTGAAACAGCGTGCCGGCCTCAACATTGAAGGCTCTCACAGCTTGGCTGATGTTTTACTAAGTTCCCTGCTTGTTCCCGAGGACCACAGGCCTCTTTAACAAGGCTTTCATGGGTAAAGTCTTTGACTGTCGCATGATTGTATAGGGTCCCTAAAGGCTCCTTTTATTTGACAGGCTGCATGATAAGCTCCCAAGATATCGCGAGCTTCAGTCCCTTGACAGTGTTATGAGCACCAATCACCCGCCCCTAGTAATTAACCCCCTTCCAGAAGACCTAATCATGGCCCCCAATAGAGTACCAGGGGATGTATGATCAGGGGGCCTGGGGGGATTATTGGCAGGGGCAGAGGATTAGTAGCCGCAGCACTAAAGAAAGCCTCAAGGGTCCAGGTACCTACATGGTGCAGACTTGGGGCGCAAAGGGTTTCCATTTAGGTAATTTGTGTCCTAAGTATATACTGTGTAAACGTACATGGACCCTAGGGTAAGCAGGACCTTCTCAACTTCGAAGATGATCCTGCGAGATCTGCGGGACAGCAGTACTTTGGAAGCCTTTGGACGCTTGGACTTTGTTGATGCAGTGCATAGGGGCAGGGTATACTGTCTTTTTTGCTATCCATGCATTGTATTTTTCTATACTATTATTAGTCAATACTACATATGATGGACATCATTCTCATAAGTAATGTTTACTACTATGAATGCTGCTGCTACTCCTGCTACTGCGACTGCTCCTACTGCTATCACCACTACTACCTTGACTTTAGTTGTTATTGCTCATTATTGTTACTAGATCCCGTGTGCTAGCTTGACAACAATGATCTCTAATAGCTTCCATCCCTCTCCATGACTGGGTTAAGAGTTCTGGCTTTAGGTTGCGGGTACGGATCCCAAGGTTTTCCTAGTGATCGCGCTAGCGTTCTTTTCCGAGACTAATTACATGTGGAAGTACCCCCTTCCAATTTGAAGCCTGAACCCTAAACCCTAAACCCTAAACCGTTTAGGGTTTAGACGTTTGTGTGCAAATTCTTGTCAACTTGGGTTATCTTGATGGAGGAGTTTCTGGATCAAGGTTAGGGATCCTTTATACTTTTCGGTCTGGGGACTCTGCTCGCTGTTGCAACGGTGCGTTTTTTCACTTTTCGGTGTATGGGATTCCTTATATTTATGTAAAAAGGATCTGTTTTCTTGAGAGGGTAATGTGGGTTAGGGTTGAGGGTTTGGGCTTAGGCTTTGAGGGTTCAGGACCAAGTGTTTAGCATCTATGCTGCTCCTACTGACAACCCTCACCTCCGAACAATGCACAGTCACTGAATTGTTAGCCGATTATCCCTGAACCCTTATAAACCCTAATATTCACTGAATCCCATTAGGGGGTGGGAGGGGAAGGGGAGGAATTTTCCAAGAGGTTCTCCTTACCTTCTTTTCGGGTACCTCAGATTTTGGTAGTGACAATTGTAGTTTGGGTTTTAGGAACGTATATGAGCTATAGTCTCAACTTTAGTGTCCCCCTTAATACCCCCCATGATATAATCCCCTATATAACCTTGAAAGAGTTTAGATTATGGTTCATTTGACTACCAGGTACTTGGTCCATTTTGGAATTTGCGTCTTTGGTTCATTTCGACCATGGGGTTCCTGGGTAGAGGGCCTCAAGATACGTTTTAGGGATTCGACTCCGAGCCCCAAGTCATAGGTCCCTTTAAAAGGATATATAGGGGTACATAGGGGTATTCGTGGTTTAGGGTTTAGGGCTTGCCCCTCAACTTCATTCATGCTATTTCAGTAGTTTAGAGTTAAGGGTTTAGGGGTGCACGTCAAGCCCAAAAAAAACCTAAAACCCTCAGCTTCAGTGCCCATTGATTCCGTTTACCCTGCGAGGTAAAGCAATCAGCTGGTGTTGATTCCACTCTTCAATTCTTAGGCCAGCGGTTGAGATCAGCAGTTTGTTGCAATCATGCTCAACGATGGTATTTGGGCAAAACAGCGACTTTAACTTAAATGGTGGCTTTTCTTGGCGGTTATCCCAAACTGCGGGAATTTCATTTTTCCCGAGATCGCTGTAGCATAGACTGGGAATCGGCACCCCAACTGGTGATGACGTTCCAGCAAGCAATTTCCATCCCCATTATCTCATGGGTACTGTCCCACCCAGTGCCAGCTAGAGAAGAGGTGTGTGAAAATTATAGTCCCCTCAAGTACATAGAATATGGCTTTCAGTATGTTACAATAAGGTCCTCATATACCCCATATGATATCTACTGAAGGGGGACTATAGACCCAACCTTGACCCGCCCGGATGCCTACAGTTTTATATGTATAGTCCCGCTTAAGTAGTGTTGGATTAGGGTTTAGGATTTAGGGTTTAGGGTTTAGAATTTAGGGTTTATACAGTTAGGTAGATAGAATATTAGGGTTATATTGGGATCATATAGGCCTAGGGGAAAAGAACATGGAAACTCATATTTAGGGTTTAGGGTTTATAGTCCCCCTTAAGTAGATAGGATATGGGGTATATGGGGATCTTATCTGAATATACCCAAAGCCATATTCAATTTGCTCATGGGGCACTATAATACCTGTAAATTAGGGAGAATTACTTGTAAGCTGTAGGTCAGTTGTGTTACAGGCTTTAAGTTGCCAGGTATTCCCTAAAGCCTTAACTCACGGGTTCCTGGTTTGTACCCCTAAGGTCGTACCCCTAAAAGGTTTCCCCAAGAAAACCCTAATATAGCCCTTATATGAGCCAATGTTGTCGCCTAGGGTCCCTTGAAAGGATCCCAAAAGTCAAGGGTTTAGGGTTTAGGTGTACAAGCCTGAAACCTTGGATAAACCCTGCTACCACCTTGGCTGCCAGGAAGTCCATGCTGAGCCTCTACATGAGCATCGCCGGCGGCGTCAGTTGGGAGCAGGTTTTGGTCCCCCTGGAGGAAGCAGAATAGGGTTCAGGGGTTTAGAGTTTAGGTTTTGGAGTTTGGGGAAGCAGTTGGGTTCCCTACAAAAGTGCAAGTTGCCCGGGCTTGTGGGTTGTTAGACAGAAAATTCGGGATATGCAAGGGGACCCTGGGCTACCAACATACCATAGTATATTATGGTATATTATAGTCTATTATAAAATATTATAGTATATTATAGTATATTACAATATGTGTGTAGGGCTTGTTGGAGACGAAGTCGGGCTCCTTTGTTTGCAGGTATCACGTTAGCTTAGGAGAACTTACGGACACTGGAGGATAGGTGAGGGTACCTGCCTAGGTACCCCAGTAGTACCCTTTTCCCCTTTTTATTTTGGGGCCTCCATATTACAATTCAATATTAGGAATAAGGGTAATTACCCCTATTATCACTGGGTTACTTGGGAACCTAGCTTCGCTATGGAGCCACAGGGACTGGAAAGGGGGCAGGGTTTAGGGTTCGGCCTAAACCCCACCTCCTACACCCTGATCCCCGCAGTTCTTATAGTCCCCCTACATCCTTAAGGTCCCTGAGGTGAAGGCTTTCCTGGTAGTCACCAATACTGTTTTCTTAAACGCCTTGTTTGCTCAAATGATGGACTCTAGCCAAAATCCTCATACTAATTTCTCATACCCTCTCCAATACTAGCATGGACCCCCGCAAAGGGGGAGGGCACCTGAAAGACTAGCCTAATCTTTTCCCATTTCTCGCCTGTTCTGTATGTGGTAGTATGTATATCCCCAAATGCTAGAGATTTTAGTGTGCGGGGCCCCAATAGGGGACCTCTGATTCTCGGAAAGCCTCATTTCTCGCCAGGAGATAAGCACATTTTGGGTCATCATGCAGCCGGGCAGCAAAGAGCCGTGCTGTCTTTGGAGCACGTTAGGCATCTGCTGTGATCGCGTACATAAATACCAACATCACTGTCCTGGATTCCTGGTAGGATGATGGTATAGGGCACGGCAAGTAGACCCAAACAGACCTCACAATGATCTTGGTAATTATGTAGGCTGCTGTGCTAATCGCTTCCCCCTAGCATCGAACACGGTGCAACACCTTTTCTTGAATATGCTTCGTGGCTTTTACAAGCGAATATATGGCATGTTTTACCCTGGCCTGGAGATCCAAAAAGCAGAGGTATGGTCCAATTTGCAGGCTTTAGCGCCCAGTGTCATGTAAATTCTTAGATCCACAGGGTTGTGACGAGGATTGGGCGTGGTCAACATTGAGCTGACTCGGATGAAGTAGATACGGTTGAGGGCGGCGTAGAAAGTAGTGAATTCAGTGGATTTGTGGACGACTCTCAG